TCCCTACTACAAATTCCTACAAACTTTAACTTTACCAGGGAGTCTTGACGCAACACGATGGAATACTGTGATGTTAAGGACAGTCACTCTTTTCAAAATTCAGATTTTTTTCCCAGTTTTCATCAAGATTGTAATGGATTCAAGAGCCAATTGGTCCTTGGAGAACTCAGGATATAACAACCATGTCTCCTGGGACCAGGGTACCCATCCCACGAGGATGACTGTTTTGAATGTTTTGAGGTGGCTAATGAAGTAAGAAGCCGCATGACACCAGATCATAGTCCAACAGGTTTATTTGAAATCACAAGCTTTCGGAGTACTGCTCCTTCAACAGGTGTCATGTGACTTCTAACTTTGTCTACCGCAGTCCAACACTGACACCTCCACATCACAGCTAATAATGTAAATATATTTCATAGTATTTTTACCTACATAGCTATTCAGAAGACATTCATGAGGTTTCACACAAAGATAATCAGCAAAAATGAAACAGTACAGGCTTGAAAGTGGCCTTTTAACATGTTTAAATATTGTTTGGGAAGTGGGGGAGAATGGACATAAGCAGCATAGTGATGGCATACAATGGGGGAATGTTTCCCAGGGCTCTAATTAGGGGCCTCACCTTTATGAATGACTTAAATGAAGGACTGGAGAATGGTTTCTCTAAATTTACAGAAAACACTGTTTAGTGGGATAGTAAGTCATGAAGATCAGACAGAAAATGCAAAAGGAACATAAATAAATGAGCAAAACTATGGCAGATAGACCATTCACGTTGGGCCTAAAAAAGCTATAGCAAGGTAGACAGGTAATGTTGTTAGATTGGGAGGTACTCGTTCAAACAAGTAAACTAATTTAGTTCCTAAAAATTATGGCTATGCCCTCTAAGTTCTGCACTATGAAAAAGCATAATGATGGTGGGAAGCCAGTATGAGAAATAAAAAAAATTCACATGATTTTGTCAAAATACTTACAGCCTAGATGGCTGAATTATGTAAATTATGGAGCAAAGAACAAATTAAGACAATTGCATACTCCAGAATACAGAGGGCCCCAGCTTATGAATTTCTGACTTACATTTGCTTGTACTTACAAATGCATTCCCATACAGTGGTGTCATTTTAAATATCCAACATACAAAAATTCCCTCTATGAACAAATGGGTGCTTTGAATGGCCCTGCATTGTGTTCCAATTGGTGTACAAATTGACTTGCGACCATTGAGGAATGGAATCTGGTTGCAATCCAGAGAATGCCTATCACACGTTCCCTAAGGCAGTGCTGTTATCACACAATTTCTTGGGTTGAAGGTCCTAATTTTGTTCCCAGCAACTCTTATGCTAGATATTTTTAATCAGGTGGTTCAGATGTACCTTGATACATCTCCTCAGCAGGTGGGACTTGAACTCTGATCTCCTGGCTCACTGGAGGTGGACTACCACTACACCACAAGAGTCCAATTCCCCTGCATTAGACATTTTCAAATAAATTATACACACCTTTGGAACAAGTGGGACTTAAATTCCCGTATGTGAGATTTTCTTCCACCTCTGATCAAACCATTCAAAAATATGACACACCTCTGGGACAGGTGGGACTCAAAACCAGGCCTCCTAGCTCAGTTTTCCTAACTATGAATGCACCACAAGTCCTAGGCACAATCTCCTATGCTATATACCAGCTTGCAACCAAAGTGTCATTAATGTCATATAATTGCAAACGAGTGTAGCTCATGGTATCTAATGTTCTAACTCTACAGTGACGAGTACCACCCAGTCTTTTTCTTGGCACTACACACGGCACAATAGAGATCAAGATGAAAGAATAGTGACAAATTCAGTTGTGAGAATCCCTTATTTTACAAAATGGGTGGCACCAATGGAAAACTGAATACAATGAAATACAAATTGATTCATCAGTGGCATTGCAAAAGGGTTTATTTCATTTAGCAGATGTTATTCTACACCAATTTTATCTCCCATCCAACTGCTTTCCCTATGATGTATCTTGCATTGTAGCCCAATTTTGTCATCTCTACAATCCATTAGATAAAGTTGCTCATTGCGATCACTAAAAGAGCCTTTTCTCCCCCTCTTAGAAGTTATTGCTATTTTAAGGTTATCATTGCAGTTTCCTAGCCAGAGACCAGTCAGGTAATCTCCTTATGTCAATCCCTAATCAACTACAAACAGGTGCACAAGCCTGCTCAAGTGATAAGATCAGGTGGTTTAAAGGCAGCAAAAGGTTGCACGTATATAACATGTTTCATGAGACCAGCATGAAAAATGGCATTAAAAGCCAGTAGTTACCGTTAATGTAGGAAATGCCAGGCCAATTTGTGCACAATGAGCTTTCATAAATATCAATGGCCAATGTTCGTAAAGGCAAAAGTAATATATTGATGCTAGAAATCAAACAAAAACAGAAAATGCTGAATCAAATTCTGATCAAAGGTCATCAACTTGAAAAATTTAGCTGTTACTGTCTCCGAAGATGGAAACAGGGTTATTTCTGGGTACTGTTAGGACTTAACTATTCTCTACAACAAAATAATTAATGGCCAGTGTTGTTCATGTAGTGCCATGGAATATTTTGCAATTATGAAGAGGGAAGGCATTTCATTTGAAAGACAGTACAAGAGGAAATCCTAAAGGCAATTTCAATTGAATCAAATGAAGCAAGTTAACATTTTCCATCTTAACTTATTCTTCTAGATAGACAGCATCCAATTATTTGTTAAACTATTCAAACGCTTTTGCTTCAGTTCACAACTAAAGTCTGGTCTCATCTCTTGGAGTTATTTTGAAACTTCTAGCTGCTTTCTCTTTACTGTTGAAACTGTAACCTTAGCCTATTCAGAATATTCAAGCGATCATTGAGATCCAATTATTTAAATACTGCTTACTACATTTTACCTCAAAATGCATGCTCTAAAAGCTCTCCAGTCTAGATGCTAGTTTCATCTTCATCCATGGAATTGCGCATTTCTTTAAAATCTCTTGTGCCCCAGTAACCAAATAATACAATAATCTTATAGGAGTAATATAGTTTAAGTATGTTTTTCTTTGAATAAGCTATCTTGCATCCATGTTTCCACTATCATCCACTGCTGTCCACAATTAAGTTATGACTGACAGCATCCATTCAGTTTTCATAGAATCACAGAATCTCTACAGTGCAGAAACAGGCCATTTGGTCCATCAGGTCTGCACTGACCCTCTGAAGAGCATCCCACCCAGACCCCCTGCCATCCCTGCATCCCACATTTACCCTGGCTAACCCACCTGGACGACAGATCCATGCTTACTACAGGGAAATTTAACAGGGCCAATCCACCTAACCTGCAGATCTTTGGACCGTGGGAGGAAACCGGCACACCGGACATTAACCCACATGCAAACTTCACACAGTCACCCAAGGCTGGATCCCTGGTGCTGTGAGGCAGCAGTGCTAACCGCTGAGCTACTGTACTACCCTTTACTCCACTTCTGCTCTCAGCCTTCCTCCTTCCATCCAGAAATCTCCTTTGTCAATTTCCACATTCAACAACAGGTCAACCTCCAAAACATTCCAGCGATACTACCGAACAACACACCTTTCCCTCCGCTCATAGTATTCAACAACCTGGTTTACACTGCCATTACCCAGTACCCTTTGCATGCTAGTGCAGATGATATACATTTTCACCTGCTTTCCTCACAATTCAACATCGCAAACACTTGAAACAGCAGCTTCTACTTTCAACTGTTTGTGTTGCACTTACCTGCGTTGGGAAGATTAAATGCTGATTGAGTTGAGTTGTAATTTTACTGAACAGTTTTGTTCAGTCCACAAGAATAACTGTGGATCCAGATTTTTTTTCCCCCTTTATTCATTCACGGGATGAGGGTGTCACTGGTCAGGCAGCATTCATTGCCCATCCCTAATTGCCCAGAGGCCAGTTAAGAGTCAACCACATGGCTGTGGATCTGGAGTCCCAGGTAGGCCAGATGGCAGTTTCCTTCCCAAAAGGAAACTAGGGAACCAGATGGGTTTTTCATACAATTGTCAATGGATTCACAGTCATCATTAGACTCTTCATTCCAGATAGTTACTGAATTCAAATTCCACCATCTGCTGTGGCAGGATTCGAACCCGGGTCTGCAGAACGTCATCCAGATCTCTGGGTTAACAGTCCAGTGATAATACCACTAATCCATCGTCTCCCCCTTGACTATTTTAATGCTTAGCCCACTCCATAGATGCTACCTGCTTGACAGACAACCCCAGCATTGGTTTTCATTTTGCAATTCCAGTATATTTTGCAGTATTTTGCTTGTTTCCAAATTGTATTCTACTGTTTAAGCCATGTAGTCCAGCATTCTGTTAGTTTTGTTGTTAATTGAAGCTGTTGGATTCATTCAAAGCCAAGCTGCCCAAAATTCCTACACGTGCAATTACATTGTTTGCTCAGTCAGTAGAATACCTGTATCAATAGTAGCATTTTGCATTTAGTGAGCACTCGTGCAACTGGGATGCCTTCAAAGCAAATCAACAAGCACTGCTGCCAGATTGGTATTATCTCCAATCTGACCAATTTGGATCATACCTCTGAATTCGAGATGACAAAGTGAAAACATTTTTGAAAACAGAAACAGGTTCGTTAACACTTCAGCCTATGATTCCCATTTACTTTGTACAAAAGTTATGAATTTTCCTTGGATTATTACTTTGAAATCAGTCATATCTTTGATACTTGGAAGGAAGTCATCATTTTGTATTTTATCTTGTGCTCAACTTCAGTTAATCCAGTTCAAAACTTTGAGTGTTCAGTTTTCCTCTGTATTTTGTTATTGCACTGAAAGGTTTTCCTGTTACATTTTAGGTCAGCAACTTTACTCATTTGAGTATACGTTTAACGCGTTACCAAAATTAATCAAATTACTTCTGCGACAAGAAATCAATCTCCTATGATTTTCTACTGCTCTTCTTTCCAACAACCTTCAAATAATCAAAATATATTAGCACCAAGGAGTTTGTTTATTGAGGGAATAAAGAAAGGAAGAACAATGCTTTGAAATAATGCAGTTTGCAACTCCTACCCAGAATCTGTACAAAGGGTGTTGACTATAATACAGAATGTACATGTTGCTGGTTTTGTAGCAAATTTCACACACAGCTTTTGCTTGTATCACACGCTCACTATAACCCTCCAGCTTTACAAGGTCATAATTTAAAAGACTAAAATGTGGTTGTTATTGATAAACTTACAAATTTAACCAAAGCAGGAAAAAAGTGAAAAAAGTTGATGCACATACATTCTTTCTTGGCACAACAAAACAATCACAGTAACATTATTTACAATATTTACAACACAAGGAACATTATTCCATTTCTGAGAATCTGGCAAACATAGCTTTTCGAACAGCATCTTTATAGGTATCTGCTGTGTTGACACCATAAGAGCTTCCACGTGTTCCTAGTCCAGCTCCTTTCATTCTTAATTGTGCCTGTTAAAAAGGAGCAAAGTCTTTCTTTCAGCAATGTGCAGTTCAAGATGAATAAAACTTTGCATTTTATGGAGACACCCAAAAATAGTGCAAGAAATTCCAGCATCTTAGTTTTTTTTTTTAAGAATTGTCACTGGTTGATGTCAGGGAAAGTACAAGTCTCCACAAAAGAAGAGCTGTTCTGTAGACCTTTGCCTGTACAGCATGCCAATGAAAATTAACAGGAGTATCCGCAGACAAGTGGTGAGAAATAGTTTTGCAAAATGAGAATCACTTGCATCTCTTCACTATTTCTCCACTGACATTCAAAATCAGCAGCTAGTCACATCAGGAATATCTGCAAACCTACATCCTACCAGCTCCGTTGTGCATTTGCTTCTATATCCATGATATTATACCACTTTGAATAGTCAGGATTTGTACAGACCATCCAGTTGCTCCCCCAGAATGTATTTTTACTAATCGATTCATGGCAAATAAATACAGCAGGACTCAAGTGCCTCCTGTGCCCTAGTTCTACATTCTATTGAAGTAGAAATTCCCACTGGGGGTATCCAATGACATACCTCAATTGGCGCAGTAATGCCTTGTTGGTTTCTACCGAGTCCTGAACCTTCTTTCCAGCCCATGGCTTGCAACATTCGGCTTCCAATATTATCACTACCAATGCCGTCTTTAGTTGGCTGCTCAAAATCACTGCAAAAGATGAATACGGTTGAACGGAAAGAGAACTTAATTCAATTGTTAATACTGCTATTTATTTTAAGAAAGCTATTAAACTATCAATAATGTGTTGAAATATGGCACAAGGGAAGTTAGGAATCTGCCATTTAGAGGCACTATTTAACTGTGGGAAGTAGCACTGACTAGTCACAATGAAGGAAGGAAGAAGGAAGAAAAAAGGCAGCAATACAGTTGCATTGCATCAAATGCTACAACTGGAGGAATGAAAAAAACAGTTTTGATTCCCAGAGCATCAGCTTCCACATCTATGATAAAACCATGAAGACCTTAAGAGTGCAACTGAAAGATTTATCTAGCGAAGCCTTTTATTGTCAGAAAAGTGGGAAGAAATAAAGCCATGTCCTCCCAGAGATGGTGTTCTGATTCTCTCAACTGCAGAGGAGATAGTAGAGTTTGGGCAAAACTATGAGATACCTAACCCTGAATAAGCTTCCTTTTTTTGCTGGGATAGGCAGGTAGTAAAAGCGGTAGGGAGAGAGAACACATTATGGGAAGAGAGAAGTATCTCAGTTTCTGGCAAGGACTACAAGTAACCGACATACTACTCTTCAGATATATGCAACATAAGTGACTTGGAAATGAAACAACATGGCGTAATATTTAAAGGGAAAATATTTCTTACACAACTTGGGGTGCAAAAAACTTTTTCCTCTTGGGCTCTGGAGGTTCTGGGATTCCATATTTCTCTCTCCTCTCTGCTGCTCTGTCTCTGTATTTCATCTATTGAGAAAGTTAACATTTATTAACAGTAAATTAATTTTAAGAAAATTCTACAGGTTTGTGCTTCTTATCACTGAGAACATACCTCTCGTTCGGTCTTCTCTAAAGCTTCAAGTTCTGTATCTGTCATTTTCGCTCTTCTGTGAATCTCCAAATTTTGCTTTGTTGGTGGGAAGAAAGACAAAATACACAATTGCATAATTTCAAATGATACTACTGAAATATCTCATGCATCCAATTTTTCTCTGAAAGATCTATGATACCTTGTGCAATTCAGAGAGTTGCTGATGTCTGATGAGTGTTTCTTTACTAGGAAATTGCCTTCTACACAAAAGGCAGGCCATTTTCTTCCAATCTGTTAGTTTCTCCTCTCCATCCTCTGTTTTTTCCTGTTCTTCTTCAGTATCACTTTCTCCACTGTAAGCAGCCACAAGGCCTTGTTGTGGGCTTGTTTTTCTCTGAATTAAAGCATAAGTGATAGTTTGTTCAAGCACTAATTACGAGAGAAAAGATACTTTAAAATCTTGTTTTATTGAAATGGTAATTTATGGGCAAGTGCTCAAATGTTCAATTCAGTTTAACATCCTATTTTTTAATAGCATGGAGATATCTTGCATTCAAATAATTTTCAATTTTATCAAACCAGACATCACTAATAACTGTGCTGGTTGGTGTCGGACATTCAAATCACTGATAAAGGTGCAAAAAACCTTCCTGCTTATTCAGGGCACATTAAAACACTTCTGTAGCTCCACCCAAACCATTCAAAAGCAGACTGCAAATCAGTTCCTGGACCATCCGAATTCTTTTAAAAAAAATCCAGACTTAAGTGGCATGGTGTAAAGTCGACAATCTCTCCCTCAAAGACAGCAAAACAAAGGAGTTGGTCACATCTATATCAATGCTCCTGTCTCTATCAATGGTCTTAAGGTGGAGGTGGTCGAGAGCTGCAAGTTCCTAGGAGTAAATATCACCAATCTGGCCTGGTCCATCCACATCAATGCTACATACTAAGAAAGCACACCAATGCCTCTACTTTTTCAGAAGGCTAAGTTACTTCAGCATATTCACAATGATCCTTACCAATATTTATACGTGGACCATTGAAAGCATCCTATCCGGATTCATCACACTTTGGTATGGCAACTGCTCTACCCAAGACTGCAAGAAATTACTGAGAGTTGTGAACACAACCCAGTCCATCACAAACACAGACCTTTCTTCCACTGAGTCGATACAGAGTGAAGCTGGAGGAACGCAGCAGGTCAGGCAGCACCGGAGTAGGAGAGTCGACGTTTCGGGCCTAGGCCCTTCATCAGAACTGGGGAGGGGGAAGGGAGCTGGGAGCTAAATAGAGGGAAGAGGTGTGGAGCTGGGAGAAGGTAGGTGGGATAGTGATAGGTGGATGCAGGTAGGGGCAATGGAGATTGGTCAGTGGGAAGGGTGGGGCAGATAGGTGGGGAAGGAGATGGACAGGTAGTGTCAGGTCAAGGAGGCGGGGATGAGAGGGACGGTTAGACATGGGAGGAGACCGGGGGTGGGGAGACCAACCCACCTTTTCCACTGACTAATCCCCACTGCCTCTACCTGCATCCACCTATCGCCAACACACCTAACCTCCCCCCACAGCCCCACCTCTCTTCCCTTTATTCATCTCCCAGCTCCCTTCCCCCTCCCTGTCCTGAAGGAATGTTTCGGCCCGAAACATCATCTCTCCTACTCCTCTGATGCTGTCTGTCCTGCTGCGTTCCTCCAGCATCTGCAGTTCTTGCTATCTCTTTTCTTCCACTGACTCCATCTACACTTTCTCACTGCCTCAGGAAAGCAGCCAACATAATCAAAGATCTCTCCAACTCCGCTTATACTCTCTTCCATCGGGCAGAAGGTGCCAAAATTTGAAAACATGTACCAACAGATTTAAGAACAGCTTCTTCCCTGTTATCAATGTGATGAACGGACATCTGAAATTAGAGATGATCTTTCTCAGCACCTCCTCTGTACCTGTAACACTATATTCTACATTCTGTTCTATTACCCTGATGCACTTATGTAAGGTATGATTTGTCTAGGTAGCATGCAAAACAATACTTTTCCCTGTATCTTAGTACACGTGATACTGACAAATCACAGATTTCCAATACTGTGTTGAAATCCAATAACCAATAGCTAATTTCAACTTCCCAACTCTAAATCATGTATTCTTGAATGCTTTACAAGACAAAAAACACATTTGACTCGAGGTTTCAGAATATGTACTCCAAGGGAATTACTGTCCCTCTCAGACATTAAAATAAATCAAAAATGCTGCACTTCATACTGATACCATTTCCCCACTAGAAGAACATTTTTCTTGTCTTCACAATAATGATTGACCTAATTTCCAGCATAGATTACACTTAGTTTTCAATGAAAATGAAACATTCACTGAGAACAGATGTTGCAAAAACAAAGAATCCAGTTACAGCTGTTGGAGCTTCATTATAAACACTACAAAGTTATGTAATCTAACCTTAAGCACATAGTCCTCTTCATCTGGTGCTGAAGACCTCCTTAAGACTTCAACAGTTGTTGGTGATCTCTCTGTTGATATGCCCTGCTGAAAATAGGACAAAATACTTTGCTATAGAAAGTGTCATATACTTCTGCAAAATTTCCCACATAACAACAAGCACACACTTCAAAACCTTTTTTTTAAAATTCACACCTTTTTCTCAAACAATGCAAAGCCAGCATCTGCTGCTGCAGACTCCTTCCGCTCATCCTCTCGAAGACCCCCAATGGGTTGAAAGCTGGTTTTGAAATTTTCTTTCTGTTTGTTCAAACTCTTAGCCCACCGCTCCATATCTTTGGCAATCTAAGAAAACATTACTGAATTAGTACCTCTTTTCCACAGAAGTGCATATTGACCTGAAACATGCATAAATCATACAGCATGTGAACTGATTCAGAGTTAACCAACAGTTAATGCTAGTCAATAGGCAAATGGGATCGCCATTTAGTTTTGTACCCGACAAATCAACACAAACTCTTCAATTCAGTAAAAGACAATGTGAGACAGGAAAAGAAAAATATTGACACATTTGATTTGGTGCACTCTCCATACCACAAAGTTAGGAGAATTGGCTAATTCTATTGAGAGAAGAGCAATCAAGCTCAAGGCAGATTGTTGCTAAATTTATATTAAAAAAAGAACGAACTGGCCAAGGCCTGGTCTGAGTTGATACCAAGAGCAAATTGGTTTGGTTCAACAAGACAGGATGACAAAAGACCATAAAAATTAAGAGAATTAGGCCATTCAGCCCATTTGGTCAGCCCTGCCATTCAATGAGATCGTGGTTGATCTGATAACCCTCAACTCCATTCTCCTATCTTTTCCCATAACTCTTGATTTCCTTTCTGACTGAAAATCTGTCTCAGCCTTGAAGATACTTAATGACCCAACCTCAACAGCCCTCTGTAGTAAAGAATTCCATAGATTTACTACTCTGAGGAAAGAAATACCTGCTGGAGTGGAATCGCAGAGACTTATAAAATTTTAACAGGACTGGACAGGGTGAATGCTGCTGGATGCTCCTGATGGCTGCAAAGTTCAGAATTGGGAGTCACAGCCTAAGGATACAGGATAGGTCATTTAGGGCTGGGATGAGGAGAAACATCTTCACCCAGATAGTGATGAGGCTGTGGAATTCTCTGCCACAGAATGGAATTGAGGCCATAACACAATGTTTAGAAGTTACATATGGTTCTTAAGGCTAAAAGGATCAAATGGTACAGGGAGAAAGCAGGAACCAGGTATTGAGCTGGATGATTAGCCATGGTCATACAGAACAGCAGAATAAGCTCAAAGTGCTGAATGGCCTACTCATGCTATTTTCTATGTTTCTATGAAGAACACGTTAAAAGAGAGATTGAAGAGATTTTAAAATTTAAATTCTACAACATCGATACTGCTAGCGCTATGCATTTTTTTTTAACCTGTTGTGCTGTTTTGCTCTTCGGTTTCTCTTTTTTCTCTTTACCATCTTTATTAGCTGCACTAGCAGCAGCAGCATTCTGCTGTGCAGTATATTCTGATGCAGGCAGGTATTTCTGCTTTGCTCCATCCCAGTACAAATACTGTTGAGTCTGTGTATTGTAGTAATACTGAAACAAATGGGAGGAAAAAAATTAGTGCATTTGCAGCTGCTCTCATACCCTAACCATGCAGTGACTGCTTCTGAAGTATGAATGACAGAAACCTGGTATTTAGAACCAAAGAATTGAAACATGACACTCAAGGACCCATGAATATCAGAGATGACAATTATTTGTTCACTCATCTTATGTGTCAGAGACCTTGCTGTGTGAAAATTGTTCGATATTGTTCATAATAATTGCGTTTATACACTGCGGGAATAATTGAGATATGCTTTGGGACAATCTTTTCAAATGATCCTATTTTATATCGCATATAACAGTGTTTTAGCTCTTACCTGGGAGTTAGGATCATAGTAAAGCCCAGTCTGCTGATCATAGTAAAATCCAGATGCATCATCGTACTGGTAACTAGAAACATCAGGTGCAGCTGTAAAGTGTACATAAGTAAAATTTATGGATAGAAATTCATGGCAAATAAACAGAAAGGAACCGACCTCACTGAACAACAAAGTATCAACTGACTGATAGTATCCAAAAGCATGCGAGGAATTGAAAACTGTATGCACATTTTATTAAAAATATTTTATATTGTTTACTTACACAATTTGGAGTCTGAAGAAGCAGTACTTGAATCCGAAGCCTGTTGACCAGGTGTTGATGGTTGCCCACCATCTACCTGCTGAGTACAAACCAAGTCTGCATCAACCACTCAACTTTAATATCACATTTCAAACACGTGATTAATAGACATCCTATAAACGTGTAAAACAATAAAAGGACAATAACAAAACATTTCAATAGATCAGAAAGCAAAGGGGTACTTTCAAGGCATTAGGGATCAGGAAACATCGGGGATGAATTCCATTTCAAGTTTATGTAGGATTTTTGAAGCCAGCTTTAGGAAAGAAATTAAAGTTCCTTAACACAAAAAAATGATCATTATTCCTTACTGGATCTCTGCAATGACCAAAGGATCACTGATTCAATGTACAAAACAAAGTGTTGGAATTAAAGGTTCTGATCATAAGTTTGTGATTTGAAATTTTTTTTTCCCTCCTTCAAGACCTTATTTTCCTAAAGATGACGTTGGGGGGAGGGTGGGGGCAGAGAAACAACAATATTGAGGGATGTTTACATAAATGTTTGCTCAGTGACTGTCATGGAAAGAGTGATAGTATTGCCTGTACTCCATTCCTTAAAGTCAATTCCTTTATCATAACAGCAGAAACACTGACCCATCTGTCTGAAGTCACAGGATAGGAGACAAAATAGTTGTAAACAAAAAGGGAAATGCACGGAAAAGGCATTCAGATTTACCAAGTTAGAGAAATACTAGAAATCTTTGACGTCAGAGCCTTTGAAAAGTCCTTTCAGGTTCTTAACATCAAAAGCTACCTTTACCTACGGAGATGGAGCAGTGGAGGCAAGGGTAAGATAGCCTTTGAAATTAAAACTTCAAAATGATCTTACCTGAGCACTCTGCTGGTAGCTTTGTGCGCCTCTAGAATATACCTGAACCTGTGAAACAGGAGTGCTGGCAGAAGTACTTGCAGCGGGACCTGCAGCAAAAAATAAGGTTTTTTTCTTTTCAGTGAGCCCACTTATTTTGTACAATACAGCTCAGAACAGATAAAAGATCAGCTCTGCATAAAATATTTGAGTTTGCTGAATTCAAAGCAACATTCTTATTTAAAACAGATTATAATTTGCAGATAACCATTTTATAATTCATTCCATATCTGATCCAATATTTCACTTGTTGCTTACTCCATGGTAAACCAGACAAATCAAGACTGCTTCTCACATAACATTCTGCAACAGCTGTTCACAGGTGCCGTGCAGCAAAACAAAACAAGTGCACATAGGAGCCTTGTTACTATTATTAACTAAATCACTTTAGTAAACTTCTAAGCTGGAACACTTTGAATTAGGAATCAGTGATAGAATACAGAAGTGGTCGATCTTTTTCAATTTTTAAAAGGGCCATAGCAGAAGTGGTCACTAAAGAGCTTTGCTTTTCAAATGTTTGGAAAAGCAACACTCTGGGGAAACAATCAGAATGCTGAATCTAAGTCAATCATATATTCCTGCAGGCAACGACACATACTAAGCATGGAAATGAGTGAAAGTCCTTGCCTATCAATTGGAATCACACAAGTCTTGCACATCTAACTAGTTAACCTGAATGGGATTCCAAACATTTCAACCATATAGTATTCCAATGGCTCAAGTTCACAATACACTACACTACAATGTACCCAACTTTTCAAAATGCATGGACTCAATCACTTCTTTTATGCAATTCTCCGATCCAATTAACACAATTAATGATCTTAAACTTGATTTAGAAGCAGGATTACTTTAATGCATGGAACAGAACCGAAGATACAAATCCAAGGTACTTTAATGACCTATCATATCATGCCTCACCTGGTGTTACATTATCAAAGTGCTCGCTACAGTGCATCTTACAAAGCATTCTGCTGGGACATAATTTCCTAATTGTTCTCCTGGCATGTTTTTCTGCAGTGCAAGTAGACACAGTACAACTATCACATACAATGGCCTTTATATTTCCTGAAATCCTAGCGCTGTTGCTGCAATCAGCAACAATGGAAAACAATGAAAAAAACTACATACATTTGCAAGATTGTTGTAAAACACATAAACACAAACCAGATTGTATAAGGTGAACTTCACAGTATTGGAATGCATTCAGTGCTGCATTTTTATTTATGCCAATGCAGTAACATGAAGTAAATGTCGTTAAATAGGTTTGTGTTAATATTGAAGAAAGATTTAATGGCTATAATGAACAGAGATTGTCAAGTTGGCTTTCTTTCATTTGCAGTTTACAAAAACCTGAGTTTATTATGCATTTCGCAGGACGCAAAATTACCAACGCTTGTGTAACTACTTCTTTGGCTAAACCTGATTTAGCGGTTTAGTAAAGGAATAACATTGCACCAACCTCTCAATTAAGTCTTTCATTCTGAAAGAGAACGCTGACACCCTACCTGTGAGAGTAGCTGCTGCCTGGTATGTGACAGGTGGTGGTTGACTGGGGTCCACAGAGCCTTGTTGAAAGTACTGGTATTCCTGCGAGTACTGTGCCGATTGCACACATTTCATAGTTAGTGTGGTGCACATAGAATAACTCTAATTAAGACTGCACTTTAGAATATCTGTATATAACATACATACAAGGCACTGTCCTAGATTCTCAACAAGACAAAAACTACTGTGGTACAAATGGGAGTTATAGGTTTGTTGGTTTTTGCCTCCCTTTGCAGGGATATCTTTGCCAGCAACATTGCTTGGCTAAGAAGCCAGGACAACAACCTGTTCCCAGGTTTTTGTCAGTGTTGCTCTGTAACTGGCAACAAAGTTAGTAAAAAAGGCTCTAATTTGGCTATAATTACAGCTTATTTTTGGTAAGCAAGTGTCTGGTTTCTCCTAATAACTGCTCCATCACCCACTGCAGGACATTCAGAATTGGTTTTGTTATTAACTGTCAAGACTGCTCGAAACACCTATGTACAGTAACATATCGTATGTATCATAAATAAAAATTCACAGTATCAACATAATAACATATCCCAGGGTTGAGGACCATCATAAATATAACAAGCTTTGTCTTTGCAGTACATATCATGATCCCCTGGATAATTCAATTTGTCACATTAGTCAAATTTAAAAATGTATCAGACCAATATTAGGGAAAGGACAATGCTCAGTGCACCTAGTAGAGCATCCACCCACATCATGTCAGTAGCAAAATCAGCTTTTATTAACCACGTTCTCTCACAGGTGAATTATGTCAAGCCGACATCTGGAGCACTTTCCATATTATGCACTTTTAAGTTCAGGGCACTGAATTTTGTACCAAGTAGGTACACTTCTTTAATATGAAAATCTAAGTTCATTGTATCCAAGGGTGATTGGTAAACATCCCCTGGTGGTTTAAAGTAGAGAGTTTGGGCAGAATCATCCCCTTTCCAATGGGTATGGGTCTCAAGCATAAAATAACCAAGAAACTGGTAGCAAATTAGAAATCAGACTTAACACAGCAACTAAACATGATTTGTCAAGGCATGTTATTAACGAAAAGTAACCAAATTGGAAAAGTCCTCAGTATAAATTTGCATCTGATACTGAACAGAAAGAAAATGCTAGAACAGAAATTGTGTCAGAGATAGCACATTATCTGCTGCACGCAGCTCACATCTGACAAGGCCTCAGCTCAAGAGCACCTCTAACAGTCAACATTTTTGAAATTATACTGAATACATGAAGACTTGAAAGGAGATAGCACAGAGCAGCTATAAATCATGGTGGATACGTTGTAAAACATTGAACTGTTACGATTAAAGATCATTCTTTTAGCAGGACGAAAACTAACTCCTGCTAAATATTTAATGTGTGATAGAAATATGACTATTGGATAATCATATCACATATTCTGCTTTCTTATATAACTTTCTTATGGAATGCTAAGACAGTGTATCAAACACCTCCCCCAAATATATTTTTCTTTACCCTTTCACAGGATGCAGGTGTTCCTTGCAAGGCCAGCATTTGTTACCCATCCTTGGTTGCCCTTGAACAGAGTGACTTGCTAGGCTATTTCAGAGGGCAGTTAAGAATCAGGTCAATTAAGATGCAGGTCTAGTGACATGCAAGAACAGTCCGTGAAAGAACGGGAGATTTCCTTCTCTAAAGGACACTAGTGAACCAGATGGATTTTTACAACAATTGTCTAATGTTTTCATAAATTTGATTACTAAAATTAATTCCAGAAATATTAACCGAATTTCAATTCCACCAGTTCCTGTGGGTTGGATCGGAACCATTTTGCCTGGAGTGTTGGTCTGGGTCTCCGGTTTACTAGTCCCGTGGCATTACCACTTTACCAACAACTCCCCCAATATCATTACGGAAAAGGGTCAGTCCACATTTTGATATGTGATAGGAATAAAATAGCATCATCAGGACAAACACTATGCACATCCTAGAAGCCAGTTACAACACACCTGGCTGCTTTAACAGCTTGGGTGGGAGTAGACTTGGTGACACAGAAAACATTCAAGTTCTGTAGCCTCTTAACCCTGCAAGAGATTTAGGAAAGCTTTGACATTGTAAGAATCCTAGAGTACCTGAGTACACGAAAAAAGTATCATCTGACTTCAAAGGTAAAGCTAAGATAAACTTTACTTTAAAAAGGTCAAAAATTGTTGACTAGAATATTACTACTGAGTAGTTAACATATCTATTAATAATTACTGATGTAATATGGTCATTTTTCCATTCAGTTATCTTTCTCCACCTTACAGGTTCCAGATACAACACTGCTGCGAACATGTGGACAACCTACTTCCAATTGTACTAATGCCATCTGCAAATAACCACTTGAGTGTCTGAGTGAGCTTTGGAGGTAATTTACCAGCTTTCTAGTGGTGAGTTATTTCTCCACTTAATCCCTCCCTCCTTCGAATCCTTAGGCAGGTTAAATAAAAAAGATGCGGACAAAACGTCTGGAAGCAAATACCCAGACGTTTACAGCTCTTCAGTTAAAAAGTAATTCTATTGTCCTTGATTTTGTGTGAAAGATGGTTTCAGACTTTTTTGGTGGTCAGAAATACTGCATTCTTTTCAGGCCCTTACTTCAAAACTTATGAATTCATCATAAGTAACAATTAAAATTTTGATGTTAATAAGGCTAGAAAGACTTAGCAGGAATAAATGGACAGTCATCGACTTATAATCATAGGTTTTAAAGACAAGCTTTGATTCTGTAAGCATCTTGAGCAGCGGGAAGCCAATTGGCAAATTGCAAATAACTTTGAGGTGGTTTTGGTTTCAATTATTATCTTATTAGTGGTAAATGGAAATCTCAACAGTGTTTTTGAACATGCGCTTAACAAGACAATTGTTGTTACACTTACAGTTATTACACTTATGCAACACTCACTGTGTTTTATGTCACCCTGCTATTTGAGTCTTTACAGTATAGTGAGTTTAGTGCCTTACACTATCCTGGGGTGACTAATGTCTCCTTTATTCCCACAGTTCACAGTTTTATTTTTAAGTTCTATTTATTGCTCCTGGATACACTACCAACCTGAGAAAAAGGTTGGCCATAGCTATCCACTCCAGACGGTGGGGGATAATTGTAGTCCATTGGATCTGAACCCTGTTGAGCCTTAAAAGAAATGTCAAAATGGAACAAGTCAAAAGTAGAAAATATAAAGTCATTCATTGAAGATAAAAAGCTTAAAGTTACAAATTAATATCAGCCATATTACACAATTGTGCATATATTTCCTCAACACTGCAAAAATAACTTAAAAGCACAGAGAACAATACTGATAGCCCCTCCAATTAAACCTGTTGTAAACAAGCTAGAGGCAGATATTTTGTAAAGTGTGCTCTTTTGCTCAGTGAGCTATGTTGTCTCCAGAGTAAAGTACATTTAGGATAGTTTGAGAGTTTACATACCTAACAATATCCAGAGAGCCAAACTTAAGCTGCTATAATATAAGCCATGAAACAATAGAGCACCAGATTAACATCAGTATGCAGGAGACACTCTGGTCTGGAGCAGGCATATACATATTCTGCATGTAGTATGATGCTTCAAGATAAACCATGAGCATGTGTAAAACCACAACACTTGTCTACCTATGATCAAGATCCTGGAATGGAATGTCTTATTGCTTTTAGATTAACTAAGGTATCTTGAGTACATGAAATTCAGTCTCTCCATTTTACAAAATAGTGAAATGTTGTAGTACTGAATTCTAATATTACTTGTAGTTTTCGCATGCTCTTAGCAATTGAATTGAAGGCAATCTTAGCAAAGTCACTGTGTTCAAAATGTATTCTTTCAGATTTAAGGTTTTACCTGGCTTGATGACCACTGAGCTGCAGCAATTGCTGTACTTGCAACAGTCATGGCATTGACCCGATTTCCATCGCCAAGGAAGAGATCCCTGAACAGTAATGAAAGTTGAACATTAATCAAATGATAAAACTGCAATGTCACGTTTGATTTTGACCGACGTCAGTATCGAACAATCCAGGTCCCATAACAGATTCAACGTGGACAATCCAGGTCGCTATTTGAAAGTTGAGAAGTGTTGGCATTTATCAAATCGTGCTAATTCTGACTGTATGACTAAATGACAATGCAGATGAAACATAATGCTGCTTCTGAATGGCAAAGATCTGTTTAACACAGTAGATGGCCAGAAATAATAATTTTAGCATGCATTGCTGAGTGACAGCAACAAGCACTGAGTGAACTTCCTATTTAAGAGAAAAAGATGGGAGAAAGAATAAATTCAACTCATATGCTTATCTAACCTGCATTTTATCTGAAGACTTTTCTTTATAAAAACAACCACACGTATCTGTGTCTGATAACGTGTACATGAAATGGCATGATGCAAGACTGGGCATAGAATTTTCTAGTGAAATTTCAACAGGTGAGTCAATGGAAAGCACAAAGCAGAGATCAAAAGAAGGCAGGAGTTTTTTTTTTTCCTCGAGGTGGCGGGGGGAAGAATAGAGAATTCATCATTCTTGGATCTGCAGCCAAAACGCAGACTCTGATTCTAGTATATGGCATAGAGTTGAGATGACCTACAGGATTGGTTTCACACACCTCTTCTTACTCAGTCTCCTGGATTCTCAAACTGATAGCTAGTCCAGAACACTGACCATTTGTGGATAAGGTTGTCACACAAAATTTACATTTCGCTGAAATTTTAAAATTGTGATGTGATGGTATTGGATCCAACCTTAAAACTAAATTCAGTTTAGCTTTAGCGGTCAGTTACTTACTTCCTTGCACTCTTTGCAAAATCAACACCAATAGTTTTGCCATCAATGCTCAGTGGTGGCTGCAAGGACTGCAGTATCTGAAGAAGCTGAGACGCCTCCTGTAAATTGCAGAAGGGGAGGAAGACAGCGAGTGGTCAATTTAATTGCACTAGAGATGCTTTTGTTTGAGAGGGTCATCAGATGCAATTTCCATTGTTTGCGGGGGTGTGATTTGATGGGCAAGATTCCAGTTCATCCATATTTTCTTTTGGTGGATTTACTGGTTTAGATCTTGACATTACGACTTTGAAGCTGTGTACTCCTTTTTCAGAATTAATATTAGCATTTGATAGCTATGAATGTATACCAGGCTTTTGTGTGCAGCATTGTTCACAATGCTGCTTCAATTAAAATAATTTATAATTCCTCCAGTTGGTCAAATAATATTTCGCTAATTCTGTCATGCTAAGTTATTCCCCACACGGATATATTAACAGTGAAAATTTCTATTCCCCTGCACTGAAGGAAGGTGTGCACTTGGTTCAATCAATAGCTCAAAGCACTTCACATAAATCAAGTACAATAACCATTATTAATCACATGTAAATATGGAAAGTGTCCCAAAAACAGCACACCAAAATAGGAAATAACAGGAAAATGGGGCTGCAAAGTAGTAAAGCTACACCTTGAACAAAACAGATTAATTTGAACAGCAAGCACCAGAACTTGCCACACACACTACTCTAGAAAACACTTACGGCATTTTAAATAATTCAGCACAAAAACACAGCTAAAGTGCAGTGATTTGATAGTGACCAGACAAAATGTTGCCTATTTAAGGTTTTCATTGAAAGGACAACTTTTTTTTTATTAAATAGTACACAAAATATGCAAACAGCATGCTTTCTTTCCAAGTACCCGCAGCACTGGTTAAGAAAGTAATAAAAATTTTGTTCAAACAACAATAGATATTGTGGTACATGGCTTTCTCGCCTTCAAGAACCAGAGATTGAGTAGTTTTTACAGAAATGGGAAGAAAAGCCCATGCTGAGTCAGCAATCATGTTCAGCTCCGAGCGTGGACAGACCTGAATCATAGATCTGTCACCTGGTATCAAGTTGCAGGCAGTTTTATTCAGAAAGGCCATGGGGACAGTTGGTATGGGAGGTAGAAAATGTCATGTGTAGTCAGTGCTCTTGGTATCTGATAACATCGCATATTGGGCCAATCTGGGTTCTTCACTTGAGCATTCCCTCAATTAAGTAACAGAAAATTCAGTATAGACCTAACCAAAATACAACTAATGGAAGACAAATCATAAATCTCCCCAAAGATAGATCATTAGGATATTTTGACTCAAATATAATCTGCCACAGATCAACATTTGCAGGTTTCAGAGCAGATACCTACCACCCTCAGCTCAAAGAACTGTACAGTGAGTAATTTCAGGAAATGATAGTATTGAATAATGCAAAACCATGTGCCTTACCATTAACAGATCAACTAGATGTTTAACAATGAAACTCACCACAATAGAAGCAAGCTGTACAAAAGCAAATCCCCTGTTCAGTTGGGTTTGCTTGTCCTTAATCAGCCGAATATTGGAGAGAGATAATGCAGCGTATGGCGAAAGGGCACTTAAGATGGACTCCACCGAGGTGTGGGAACTAATGTTTCTCAAAATGACAGCTGTTTAGGGAAGTAAAGATGTATGTAAATCTGAACAATTCATATATCTTGGTATATTTGCAGTTATTTATGGTTCAATTAACCTCAGAGGTCTGCTTGTCAACATTTTTGTTAAAATCTATATTTCATTGTTTCCTAACAAACCCAAGTGATCAATGAATAGGTAAACGGCTCAACAGATAACAGAGACTGAAAAAGAGGCCACTTAATCTTCCCAGCAGTACCTGCAAGTGTTCCTACACCCAAGGACTGCAGCGGTTCAAGACAGAAGCTCACCATCACCTATGGGGATCAAAACTGCATTACAATACCCTGGGTACAGCCTCAAACAATTATTGTAACAAGACTTCCCCTACTTTTAACTTCCAATGCCTGAGCAATAAAGCTAAGATTTCATTTGCTGCCCTTGTTTGCTAATGTCCTTTAGGGAAGGAAACTGCCATCTTTACCTGCTCTGGCCTACATGTGACTCTAGACCCACAGCAATGTGGTTGACTCTTAACTGCCCTCTGGGCAATTAGGGACGGGCAATAAATGCTGCCTAGCCAGCGACGCCGTCATCATAATTAAGGTGAATAGCCAAGGTCCCTTCCCAAGGGTAGGGGAGTCCAAAACTAAAGGACATAGATTGAAGGTGACAGGCAAGAGATTTTAAAGGGATCTGAGGGGCAACTTTTTCAACACAGTGGTTCACATGTGGAATGAACTGCCAGAGAAACAGTAGAGGCATGTATAATTAGAACATTTAAAAGGCATTTGGACAGGTACAAGGATAAGAAAGGTTTAGAGAGATATGGTTCACATAGAGGCAAATGGGTCCAGGTGAGTTTTGGAAACCTGGTCAGCATGGATGACTTGGGGCGAAGGGCCTGTTTCTGTGCTGCATGATTCTTTTACTGGCCTATAGTTCCTGTATGCTGTCTCATTTCCTTCTTGAATGGTGGCACAGTAGTGGTTTTCCAATCTACTAGAACCCTGCCTTTACCATCTCTGCAGCCACTCCATTTAAACCCTTGAACGTAGGTCATCAGGTCCTATTGACTTGTTTGCCTTCAGTTCCATTTGTTGGCAAATATTATGCACCTTACAAACACCCCAGATATATCGGATTATGTCGTCTACTGTGAAGAACAATGCAAATCATTGGTTCAGATTATGCACTAATTTCCTGTTCTTTGTTATCAGCTTCCCATTTGCCTCCTCCAAGGGTCCCACGTTGATGTTAGCTACTTGCTTTCTATAAACCCACATCGCTGCCGACTCCTAAAAATGTCGATCCTTTGGACTACAACTAATTTTTGCCAGTTAAGTGCCTTATTTTTTGACTGGACACTACCTGACTGGCTTTGTTAACCATGGGTAGTTCACCCTTCTCACTGAATCCTTCTTTCTGATTGGAATATTCTTTTGAGCGTTTTTAAGTATCTGGCACTGTTTATCTATTTACGTTCCCCTTAGTTTATTTTCCCAGTGCACTTTAGACAACTATCTTAAACCGCTGCAATTTAGGTTAAGGATATCGGTTTGAGATCAGATTTGCTCTCCCTCAAAATGAATTTGACCTATTTTTCTAATCAACCTGTTCAGAGATGTTATATGGCACAGGTGGATTAGATCCTGGGCCTTTTGGTCCTGGGGTAGGGACTCTACCACTGCACCATAAGAGGGTCCTCCCAAACTGAATTTGACCAATTTATTTTCTAATCAACCTGTTCAGAGATGTTATTACACACCTTTGGAGCAGCTGGGACCCGAACCCAGGCCTCTGTAGTCCAGGGGTAGGGATACTACTACTGCAACACAAGAGGGCCAAAACAGAATTTCAAATTCTATCTTGTAACCGCTATCACGTGGATGATTCATAACTATGAGGGTTCTTATTTACAGCCTGGTCCCAGGTAGTTGTGTCACGTAAAGCTCTAAAAAGCGTGCCCAGTCTTTATCTTTCCCCATCCAATTAGTCCATCAAAATGCAGATTAAAGATACTCATATGACAACGGAAGTGCCCCACTCCCAATTTATATTTTGTTCTACAGTGATGCAATTCCTTGGGAGTCTAAGGGTAACTCCCAACGGTGACCTCTATCCCCTGTTTCACACGTATTTCCATCCAATCCATAGCACTAGAACTGCATAGAGTGTCTTGGAAATATGATCACACGTGGATAAGAGATAGTAGGAACTGCAGATGCTGGAGAATCTGAGATAACAAGGTGTAGAGCTGGATGAATACAGCAGACCAAGCAGCAGAGGAGCAGGAAAGCTGACGTTTCGGGCCTAGACCCTTCTTCAGAAATGGGGGCAAGGAAGGGGATTCTGAAATAAATAGGGAGAGACGGGGAGGTGGATAGAAGATGGATAGAGGAAAAGATAGGTGGAGGGTCGAGCAGTTTCAGGGCCGAAGATATTACGAGAGAGTTGCAGTGGGAGAGAGATCCACTGAGGTCTTTCCGGAGGGAGGAGGGTAACTTCTTCAAGGTAGGCATCCTTAGAAGAGGCTTCGCAGTGGGGTTAAAATTGTTTCAGAGATAGTAGGAACTGCAGAAAGCTGCCTCAGGCAGAAGTGCTGAGTCCATGATCCACCTTGGCCTCCTCCATCACTCCACTTCTTATTTCGAACATACACCTGTTCTATCTGCACTGTTTGTTAGTTTAACATTTTCCAGGGATGGCGGCAGGAGAACCACATCAGGATACATTAACACCGCTAGCCTACTATAACTATCAAGAGCATTCCCAGCCAAAATGTGGGACTGAGTTACATAAATATTAATAGAGCGAGAGCGAGAGAGCGAGTGTTTTAGGAACAGAATTTCTGAAATTAGTGGTATCTTCTTGACTTGCCAGGCAAGATTGATCATATCATGAATCTGGCTTTGAGAAAGATTAATATCAAAAAGGCTGCAATTGTCACCTCCAGGTGGTGAAAAAATTGAGCATGCACAAAAATGAATCCAATGTCATTTGAAATTGACAAAAATTTTTCTAACAGCTGTAGTTTGAGAATAGAACATAAGGAAGCTAAAGCAGTGAACCCATAGCATAAGGAACAAAGCAGAAGATGCAAGAGATTAACTGATGCTGATGCCCAAGCCCCACAACCGAACTGACACAAGCTGCCAAGAGAGCTGATTAACTACAAATAAAGGGAGGGCAATCTGCACATGTGCTGGCACTGATGTCATTCCACACAAAATGCATGCCATTAGAAGCACCTGCACAGACACATTCTGAACGTTGCCAAAGCTCCCCCTTCCTATGTGCACAGTGCCATTTTGAAATTCACAGCAATTGCATTATTACAAGGGAATCCAGAAAAACGTTATTACTTTTGATTGTTTTGTACAATTGCATTCTAAATGCTGATAGAGCAGATACAAAAGGCCTAGCAACTTCTCTCTATTACAAATTAAGCAGGCCACCTATCATACTGGACACTTAGATGCCTATTTTATACAATTAAAAAAAGGTCAGAGATCATAAATGATTAAGTTAATGGCTCTGATTTTCCCACCATTACAGCTCGTCACAAACTGGGAACACTACAAAAGGTATTGTAAGATGGACAAGAAACAAGTGGACATCAATACAGATTATGATTATGGAAGAAGAAACAAATTTAAGATTGAAAAGTGTTGAAATATAATTTCAAGGTTTTAAATGTAAATTGCAATCTTCCCACTGACCACCTAATTGAGTCATTACTGAATGATTTCCAAAAGACTATATTCAATGGACTGCCAAAAATTCTGCTATTAAAATGCATTACAAAATACACAGCATAACAAATTTCTCTGAACAAAACAAAATAAGCAGGCAGGAAATGCTTGGAAAATAATTTTAACTTACTGTCACTGTAGTAATCAAGCGATTGCTGAACTTCAACTGATGTAGGATGCTGATCCTGTTCAGACTCTGGGTAAAGATAAACAGATACTAAGTTTCATAGTAAAATGAGATCAGCGATCTTTTTAAAAATGTACACTGGAAGTCATATGTAGAAAAATAGTATTTTATGAAACAAAACTGCTGTTTTTCTTTGCATGTTTACTTAGATGATTGGAAATAGAAATAAACCACACGCCCCTTGAGCCTGCTTATAGATGCTGTTCAACCTCAAATTCATTGTCCCATCTGATCCCCTCATCTAAATTCTTAAATGTCTTCAGGGTTTCTGCCTCCACCACATCTTGAGTGAAACGTTTTCTTAATTCATTCTACCATAATGAAGTCACTGATAAGGGGTTCAGCAGCAGTGGAAAGGATGTACGATATAAGCATTCAATATCCCAGAAGCTGAAAGAGGCAGTCTTGACCATAGATGAAGGATGGAAATTATGCACACCCAAGAATTGCCAAGTAGGCTATACTTTATACTGACAGGCTGTAATAGGGCACTTCCATACCACACACAAACTAATTGTTCGAAAATTTAAAAAGCCTCGTATTAATTTACCCCTCGGCCTTTATTTTGAGAGGCAGCTTTCATCTTTTCATAGCTCCAACCACTTCTCAGGTCTGGTCTACTCGTAAATTTTTTTTTCACACCCTCCCCAATGTCTCTACATTGCATTTCTAATAGGATAGCCTGAACTACAGCAAAATCTTCAACTGTACACTAACCAAATTTGACACAGGTGAAGTCTAACTTATTTGCTTTCCAATTCTATCCCTCTAGCAATAATCACAAGTCTTTGCTTTGTCTTAGTTATGATATTATTGAGCTGTTGTCATAACTTTCAGTGATTAGTGTATTCATATGCTTGGACCGCTGAATTCCTTTTGAATTCTTATGTTCTAATGAATCTTACCAAAATCTAAGACTTCAGACATATCTGTGTTAAAGTACACTTGCCAATTACAGACCTATTCTACTAGTTTTCTGATGCCTTCTTATAACTTGTTACATATTACACTTCTCTTCAGCTCCAAAAATCCATCTCAATTTGGCATTACACAAATTTAGAGACATTTGTGATGTACAAGTGTTAACCATTCATGTAAATTGTGAACAATAGTAGTCCCAGCAATATCTATGGGGAACACCGTTTCCTAGCTATTACAGCTCTGCTTTCTAATTTTCAGTCAGTCAGCTATCTATTCTACCACCTGACCCCTGAATTTGCAAGTTCAATCCTCATTCATTCATCTGTGATACTCTTCTCAAGAGCTTTTAGAAATGTTTTACATCTAGTACATTTCCACGTCTAACATTTGTGTACCTTCTTCAAAGAATTCAATAAGGTCAATCAAGCAAGACCACTGCTTTTGAAATCCATACTATAATAGTTTTGGTTTCTCAATGTTTTGCTAATTTCTTTACATGTTGCAGAAAATTCTGCAATTTCATTATCTTTCCAACTAGTGATGGATAGCTGACTGGTCTGCAGCTTCTTGGTTATGTGCTCTTTCTCAAATTTAAATATACTGTTAAAATGACATATTAATAAATAGATGGTAATTAAGAAAAGTCCTGTACAACAACAAAGGTGACTGTAGACAGCTATAATTAAGTTGCTGTCCTCCTTTAAACAGAAGGTCAAACTTGGCAGTGAACCAAACAGATAGTACAATGAAATTCGGGGTACTGCCTAAAAATCCCCTGGATAAACATTGCAGCTAATATCAGTTCATATATACTTACCAGATTTTGATGCCCCACATTTGAAACATTTTTCTCTCCTCTTGAAGTTATATATGCCGCACTGTATTTGCAAGTCCATAAAATTTACAAACATCAGAAATTGATTTACACACCAAATCCAACAGTAAAATAAAGTCTAAAATTGCACTCCATACACAACATGAAATATACAATGAATATATTCAATGACAACTTAGACTTTTAGTTAATTAAAATTTAGTAATTTTTAAAATGATTTTTATTCATTGTCAAAATTTAACAACTTCTCCTTATTTTTAAACTTACATAGGTATAACTCACTAGAAGCTTATTTAATAAAAAATTATTCGAAAGATAAGCTTGCAGATATATTACCTATCCTCCAAAATATCATGACATGCACTAATCCATTAATATTTCAAAAGAGAATTCCAATAGATTGTTGGTACAGTAAACCTATAAAGGCTCTGTTCATGTGTAATCAAAGTACCTTGCCACAAAGCCAATCCTCATAGGCCTTTGGTCGTGGATTGCTGTAGTGCATGGTAACATACTTCCCTTGAATAGTCAGATGTTTCTGTAAAAAAATAAAGGGTCATTTAGTATTGTTTCAAGGCAAAGTATCAATATTCCCATGGCAGTGCACACGTGTAGGAAGGGAGTTATTCCTCCCAAATTAGTGCATGAACGCACACGTTCATTTATGTTCATACAGGAAAGGGAGGTCAGGGGACTAGGTTACCTACACTTAGCCCATCCTTATTAGTCCTCAATAAGATGGAAGCAGGCCAAGTCACAAAAGGTCCAGGAAGAAGAGCATTATCATAAGCAATCTGGAGTGAGACATGTCTATAGTGTTAATGCTTGCAGAGAAAAAACTTGTTTTAAAGTTATGAAGAAAACTGTTTTAAAACATGCTTTGCTTTAACAAATCAAAAAGCTATTTTCTTCCTTTTGTAACATATCAAGTGCTAACCTTAGCAGAATCTGCTGCATCATCTAATACCCTTAATGAAGATTTTCTGACCCCATTGGCTAGTTTGAACAAAGTATAAGTAACATTGTGACAGTGCTACAAAATCTTTGGTGACAAATGTGTTACTATCTTGATCTGACCCAAGAACTTCACCCTAATCATTAACAATCCCTATTGTACCTCCTCAAAATTCAACATGCACCTTATTTTTGAAAGCCAGCAGTACTTTCAAGCTTACGAATTCAGTATGAAACACAAAACGGAGTTTGCATGTTTGGTTTTGGCAGTACAACAAAGGAAAACACCCTACATTCAATGAAAGTTTGTTGCTACTACTGAAAGCCGTTGTTACTGGGTGGAAACACCACAAGCATAGAATCATTTCAAATTAGATGCACAAAGTGTTTTACCAATTTTATATTAAAACACAAGTTGGGATCTGCAGACTCAGTTTGCAGTGCACTTTCAGGATCTGTCCAAGTCATTTCATCAAAGTCAAGAACAGCAAGTACTCTTCAGCAGCCATTGCTGAGCTAGCCCTACCAGATAACCTAGTGTAATTCAGGAACCTAACAGGTTATCTCCACAAACCAGCTCAGTACTGCAAAGTGAAAACTGCACTTAAGTTTATCTCATTAAAAATCCTAAACGTTCCAATTTTCAATTCAAACTTGCTGCCTTGATGTTTTCAAAACTGCTTGCTATTTTCAGTTGGTCAAATAGGGGACCTCACAATATAAAGTTACATGAAACCAAATTGCAAATTCTGAAATCATTAAAGTGTCAACAGTCGTTTCACAGATTTAGTACTTTGATCCTTTAAACACAACTTGGCTATAGAGAAAAATGCAATTATTTGATGTATACTATGCAATATCCCAGGCACAGTATAAACTGTACAACATAATAATGAGAGCAGTTTGGGTTATAAATAGTCTGAACACTGATTCTGGGGTATATATTATACCCTGTAGAGACTTAAGAACTCATTGCCTCGATTTGCACTAGAAGAACAATTTTTTGAGGAAAAACTGCTTTTTCAAAAAGCATATTTTAAATTAAATGTGTGAGAAGTTACACCACCTCCCAAATTTTAGATGAGTCCCTATTATTTTCCCATACTTTATTCAAGTTATGGTGTACTATTTCTATTTCTTTTAATAAGAGCGAAGAAAAAGACTCTCAAAGTTGTGACCGCACAGCCTTTTGACCCCAATCAGCTCTCTTTCTGTAGACTGTAATAACTTTGATGAAAATATGCAAGCTGTCAACAAGTTTGACAGCATAAAACTGCCACTAGGATGTGTGTCATTTAAAAAATCTGGGCAATGGTTGATTCCCCACTTTGTAGATTACATCACCTCCAAATGAAAGAGCAGAAATTGAGCTTGTTGTTAATGCCTCTCTGCATATCATAATTCATTTCGAATAATGGATGTAAGGAACCAATTTCAATTTTGAAGGAAATGCAATGAGATAAAAATAAGTTTAAAAAATTGTGCATGCATATAGCAGATGCATAACCTGGTTGGTAAAGATGCGGCACAACCATTAAAATAGCAACACCTTACACTGAACAGCGTGCCTTCCTCTATCACTTGAAGGCAATCCAGGCAGAGTATTTTCAAAAAATGCAATTCAATATATTTCAAAGATGTCACTTTGTGCTTTGACCAGGAAAAACAGTTTGAAAACCGATCCTCAGCAACACTACACATGCTGAACAGAGCAGCTGTCTAAAGTCTGATGACATGAAGAAATCAAACAGGCAAGACAGAATGAAGGCAAAGCAGTAGGTTATCATCACATCTGACACTCCATAGAATCGATTTTCAGGATAGCCATAACCCAGTCTGCTCGGTAATGCTCATTATTGTAATGAACAATTTATATTCTGCCTGGAACACTGAATAATATAATGCAACATATCAAACAACAGCAAATTTTATTAACCTAGCTACCCAGAGGATGCTTTTAAACATTCCCATCCATCACAACAATCAGACACTGGCTGATTGAATTTTTTTTTGAAAGATAATCTGCATACTGTGCCTTAATCCCAATGCCATACCTCCCTACTGTAAAATGCTTTTTAAAACGTCTTTCCCAGTACCCTCTCAACCACTCCAAAATCGTGGAAATTTGGTTGTGTGATCTCATGCCCATTTAAAACATGAATCAGACTTACACCAAGATTTTTACAGGTGTTAAGAGTCTTTCGCCCAAAAAATACAGGGCGAAATTTAAATCCAAGTCATAGATGTGAAAGGGCAGTGTTTGTTATCAGTCTCATGAGGAAACTTCTTAAAATAACTATTCCGCTGCAAGGAATATTTTCAAGTCATTCCAAAACTTCTCATGCATATCATTGTGGTAGATATCAAAGGAGGTGAGGGAGGCTTGGAAGCAGATGGTAGTGTGTATTTTGGGCAGAAGAGAAATAGGTGTAGGGTCTGAAATAACTGATTTCTCATCACCTACGACTAAAGCTTATTCCTGACCTTTTGATGCTCAGCAGTAACTTGCTTCATATTTATATTTTTTTTAAGGCTGCTCATGACCTTGAGTGTATCGTAAAAGTTAACTTGTATTTTAATAAAAATGCCTTCGACACACTGTCATTGTTCTGTATAAAGTACAAATACATAGATCTGATAACAAGCACAAAACACAGTTAATAATTTAGAAGTGGCCAAATACAAAGTAGCACATGTGGCCTTAAAGGAAAATTGTTTTGATTTCAACTTATCCTTCATGAGGAAGGTGATAGGATCCGTTTGGGTGAGGTATTGTGCCCAATTAGTGCACGAACACCTCACACCAGGAAAGAGGCTTGTGCTTACTGTTCAGTGTAGACACACCAGTCAAATCTATAACCAGGGAAATCCAAACTTTAAGTTGAAAGGTAAATCAATTAGGGCTGTAGCAGCAGACCTTTCCCCAAATGGGTCCAGAGCACCAGATGCCTAGAAGCAGCTCACTTGACTTCCTGATCTCTTCAACAGAAAAACAACATGGAAAGCTAAATACACAATACAATTGTCAGCATTACTCTCAACAAACATCCCACTACCCTTTTTGTATTCGACTCATTCACCTACACACCTTTACGTATTGCCATCTGACATTACTGCCTTTGCTCCAACCATGTGGAAAAATTGGCCCATTCTCAGACGATGGAAGACTAACTGAATGAGACTTTGGGCATTACGTTAGTATCATTCCAAAAATAAGGTTATATTGAACCAAATGAACAAGTTCTTCAATGTGAACAACATAGCTTTGTATGGATCCACAGAATGCCAACCAGAAATTGAGACTTAATTTACAGTCTATTCTCCTATGTTCAGCACTACCTTTGCTGCCCTGTATGAATCGATGCTTTAGCTGTGCTTTATACTTATTTATACAAAGGCTGTACTTGCAATCAGTCCTATGGAGCTTGCAATTTATACAGAAAAACAAATTCTCTTGTTTTGGAAAAAAGTCCCTGTGTCTCATTACATCAGTTTTCAATACAGACAATTTGATTCTTTTTATTTTTTTCTCCAAGAAATCTAGACTTGTGATGAAGCAACCTGATTGGCTTCCATCCATCTTGTTGCGTCCTGCAAGTGATTAAACTCCACGAAGGCGAAACCACGGCTTTGACCTAGAGACAGCATTCAGATATAGACGGGATTGTGTTAGTCAATGGGTTTTAAAGCAGCCATTCTCAGATGAATCTCTCAAGTCACCTTCCTGCTTCAAAGCGTCTCCATTTACAATTTTGTGAAGCAGTGATTCTGTGATCTCATTTTTTTTTCCTTTTCTTTGCCATGGCAAGGAATTGAACAGTGCAAAGTTCACGCTCTGGGAGTAATAATACTTCTACAAAAAGAACGAAAAAAGTTGCAAGGAAAAAGGCATCTTTCATGCGGACCATGTGTAAATGACCCTAGAAACAACAAATGGTACCCACCTGCAACCCAGTATTCACTGGCATTTTATTTTCTGAGAGTCACTTCTGCTGTTACCACCACCACAACCACCACCCTTGTGCATAGCATTAAAGGAGTGTAGTGGAGTCGAGTGCGTAATATTAAAGGATAAAGAAAGGCAGAAAAATAAAAATGCAAGAAAAAATAGGAAATGATAAGTTGGGAAAGGCAAAGCAACTTTTCTAACCCCTTTTAGTGTTGGAATCCCTTTTAAATCCTGGGTTGTAAGCCTTTGTAACTTATAAAAGGAGAATGGTACACTGACTACTGCTGTCACTGCATAATTAAAATGGAAGTTACAACTTGCTCTCAACAAAACTATTAATTTTACATTTCATGTTCCTCAGCCATGGCAAATTCTTGTATTCTAATTCTGAACGCTCAGCCACTGGGTAACCAAATATTCTTTTTCTGCTTTGTGGGAGGGAGGGGAAAAACCTGGAGCAGGAACAGAAATCTCACCTGACATTTTGCTCCTCATTAGTCGCACATCTCTGGGCTGAACTCCATCATAAGGCTCTAAAACTGCTCGAATCTGGAAAGAAAATGGAAATTACTGAGTCAACTCAAATGCTGGAATGAATGTATGAACTGCAACGTTGAACAAGGATCAGCAGAAGCACCTGAACTTAATCAATGTAAGTTACAGAACGTCAGTGCTCCAAGAAACCGTGCCAAGGGAAAGTTGATAAGTTATTGTTCTTATTGTACCATGCAGTTCACATTATCAGTTCAATGTGAAACCACAAAAGTACCATTTCATTCCCCACAGTAGGAAAAAGTAAAAATTCCAGTACTCTATTTTAAAGTAGTCAAAATTTTAAACTTTTGTTTTAAAGGAACTAACACTGAACATTTTTGTACTGTTTAATTACAGCAAACCTCAACTAAACGAGATGGCAATTTGAGAACAACAGTATATTCTCCCCGATCTTTTCTGACCATGTTAACCTGCATGTTAAGTGGCACCAAAATTCCCTTATGTAATCCCATGCTTCAGTTTAATGTTTTTTTTTAAACCTTTCCCTGCAGCCAAAAACCATTTCCACCTAAAAGCTCAATTAGCATTTTACCTCCTCTCCAAATTGTTCTCAAAAACATACCAGATTGCAACATATAGAAAACCATGAGCGGAGATAACATTGGTCTGGTGTGCAAAAACATGGGATCTCAAGTTTACGATAATCTGAATCCAAATCTACAGTACTTTCTCGTACACAAAAGTGTTGAGTAGATAGAATAAAATATTTATCTTCAAGTGAAGTACTTCCCATTCACATTAATGAGTATGCATATTCAGTGATATTGGTTGCAGGATAAACACTGGCTAGGATATCTGTTTAGCACATATTAATTTGCAAAAGGATAGCAGTGCAATCTTTGGATTTCCAAAGAATTACAATCTCATGTTTAAAAACAGTTTTATTTAATTTGTTTGAATATATTATGACATCTCTGGGGCAGGTGGGATTTGAACCCAGGCCTTTCAGCCCAGGAACAGGGACACTACCAGCGTATTAGAAGACCCCAAATAGTCAGTAAGGATGAGAATCTGTACCTTCATTAGAAGGCCCAATGGATTTCAAGTAGGATGTAAGAACAAAAATAGGCTATTCAGCCTATTGACGTGTTTCACAATGTCAATGAGATCACGGCTGATCTGATCAATTTTCAACTCCACTTTGCTGTCTTCCCCATAATCCCCAATTCCCTCACTTATGAAAAATCTCTCTCAACCTTGAATACGCTTAATGACCCAACCTCAATATCTTACCAAGATTTCCCTATTTTTATACTCCATTCCTTTTGGGGGAAAAGGAAGAAGCCAAAGGTCCATCTGCCTTTCCTATTACCTACCGAACTTGATGCTAGTTTTTCTAGCTAGGTGGCTAAATTGTTCTGTGCTGCAACCTTTCCCCACTTAAAAATAAATTCAACTCTTCTATTCCCATTGAGGACCTCACATCTTCCTGTACTATATTTTATGTCAGGTTTTTGCCCACTCATTTTTACCTGTCAATATCTCTCTTTAGACACGGTCATACTCACTACTTGCGTTTCCAACTATTTTTGTGCTATTCACAAACCTGGTGATAGTACATTTACTACCATCCAAGTAATTACCAGATATTGTAAACAATTGCAGTCCCCGCATTGATCCCAGTGGCAGTCCACTTGTTATCAGCTGCTCTCCTGAAAAATACCCCTTTATCTCAACTCTCGAGTAGTTTGCCAATCCTCCCAATATACTACCCCTAGCAACACAGTCTCTCATTTTATTAAGCAGCCTGGCATGCAGTGCCTTATTACCAGTTCCTGCAAGATTTAGTGAAATCTGTCCCAATGGAACAGCTCCCTTTTATCTCAGTACTGTCAGTGTCCCAAGAACTGAAAATAATCCCTCCCAAACCAATCTTTAAACCACGCATGTAACGCCTTGGCTTTATTTATCCTGTGCCAGTTTGGCAATGGCTCACACCAGCCACTTGGCACATATCCTTACACTCTTGATAAACTTTTTTCTATTAATCCTGTAGTTGCACAGCAGAGCTCCCACCCCCTCAGACAGCCATATTTTCTGCAAGTCAATAAGGAATCCCAAAACAGTAAGTTACCAGGGACTTGCAATACAGTTCACAGTGGGTAACTCTTGTGAAAAAAATTAGATATTACTTCTTTCTTATTTTAAGCAAGCAACAATGCCGCAGCGAGCGCATCACTTTTTCTAGCATAACAATAACAGCAGAGAGCTGGTAACAAGTTTGGCAAACAAAATAAAGTGGAAAAAATAGCCAGAAATCAGGTGACTGGTGTTATCTGATCAATTTTTTCTGCAGCCAATGAATGAACATACTAATGAATTAACTGCTATTGTTTGCTTTTAAGCATCTTAAACTGGTTCTGGAGCAGAATATCCTCTCCCTCAGGCTTTTACGCTCAAACACTGGTCAAAATATGACAACAAGCGGTCGAATCTGTCAATAAACGTGGAGTTGGACAAACAAAGCAGGTCAGACAGCATCGGAATAGCAGCAAAGTCAATGTTTCGGGCTTCCAGCATCTGCAGTCCTTACTATCTCCAAGCTGTAGAATATCTTTGACTGGTGTTTGTGTTAGATTTTGTTTGAAAGGAAAAGCTACAGCATCATTTCCCTTGCTCTGTCTAATTCTTTAATTCTGCTAACAAGGTCTTATTTGTTTTTCCTACTGCCTTTTCTTTTTAAAGGAGAATCATCATTATTAGAGTGTAACACTGGAGAAAAGAACATACATCATCCTCTGTCGTAGATGAGGGAAGTCCTCGCAGCATAATAGTTTTGCTTTCTTTTTCATTATTCAGGTCATTCCGATCTGGATCCCTATAGTCACCATCTGAATGGTAACCACCATCTGACCTATCGCTGCTTCTTCTTTCTTGATATCTCTGAAAAGAAAATTTAAGAGAAGAACTTGAGCATAACGAGGTGAAGAAAATCTCAGAACAGTGATAAACATTTTGACAGATGAGAGACTAACAAGGCATACGAAAGCAAACTACTTGGAATGCTGGAAATATAAAATTAACAAAGGCTAATTGACTGAAACATTTACTATCTTCCACTCTAGATGCTGCCTGACTGCTGAATATTCCCAAGATTTTCTGTTTCTATTTATAAGTGACAAGGCATACTGGGAATTCAAGTGCGCACTACTAAATAAGTGAAGAGGTAGTAGGAAGTGCCGATGCTGGAGAATCCGAGATAACAAGGTGTAGAGTTGGATGAACACAGCAGGCCAAGCAGCATCAGAGGAGCAGGAAAGCTGACGTTTCGGGTCTGGACCCTTCAGAAAATTCTGAAGAAGGGTCCGGACCCGAAACGTCAGCTTTCCTGCTCGGCCTGCTGTGTTCATCCAGCTCCACACCTTGTTATCTTAAATAAGTGAATAGTTTTATTTTGTCAGCTCTACCTAGCCAATGCCGAGAACAAGCCATATACCTTCCTGATAAAATAAATTTCAGATGGAGACATGATTATTACATTATCAACACCTCAACTCCTACAGGGTGACTGAAAGGACACTTTGCAGAAGACAAATTTCTCATTGTTTCAAAGGCGCTGAAGATGAATGGTCATTAGTGCACAAATATTTTTTATAAAAGCACAGATGCAAGTTAAATCAAGTTACTCATCCACTGCAAACTTTGTTTGCGAGGATTTCTTAATTCACTAATTGAGTGGTCTACTTCACAATGAAATGAGTTATCAAGAAACTGGCTAACATGAAACCATACTTAGGGTTTTAACTTTACTACTTTTGTTAAAGACTTTCATGCTAAAGCTACTTGTCAACCTTGCTGCAAACTGAATTATGAAGAGGACAAAAACTGACTTTCTGGATTTCCCTTTTCTAAATGTAGAGAAACACTCAACTGATAGCTGAGAGGGTGCAAAATCAAAGACATATCAATAAGAACAGATTCAACTTTGGATAATCAAGTAGATTTCATGACAGAGGAACTGCATGAAGAAACCAAGTGAGGCAGTGTGCAGCACAGTAATCAACAGATTACATGACCAACTTTAATTATTCCCAACTGGGGCTTATTTTTTAAATACATTTGCTTGCAGATCATGACCTGTACACCCTTTGACTTCACACCACCACCCTTCTGTCATTTAATCACTCCAGCCTCCAGTCAGATCCTTTCCTTTTGTGCTATCCCAATCCACTTTTCCATTGTTCTTTAAGTTTAAAGCCCAAATATCGCTAATACTTTCAGAAAATCAGAGCATGCAATGCACAGTTCCATTCTACTACTGTTGAGGTAGACACGTGCTCCTTACAAATCTGCATGGTACAGTCATGTAACATGATGAACTTTCTTCTTAAGCATGACCTCATTTGTGCAATGTGATCTATAGGAGCAAACAAATATTACAAAAAATGAAGACTGAAGCTCAATATATTAAGACATTGTCCCCATTCTTCTATCTTAATTGTGCTACTATTTCACAAGAACGTAATATCTTGCAGAATGACTAGTAAATGACAAAGTCAACATTCCTAGGAGAAAGTCTAGATTATACACAATTACCCACAAAAACTACTATACCATGACGACTCAAGATCAAGAACCAAAACTGGCTTCTAAATATAATTCCAGATTTAGCCAGGAAACTATTGCACAACACTTCATCACTTGGGAAAATATGATGCATCTACGCAGTCAAATTTACCCATACAAAACCAGATGATGGATTATTAATTCATATCAACAGTAGCAGAGACTGAAACACAATATCTTCCAATGCTTTCAAATAGACAAGGGCCTAACATCGGGTGTCACGCTGCAACAAAGATGTGAGAAAATCTAGGAGTTATTAGAACTGCCACTTATCAATGATACATGGATAACCGCATCATAGACACAGTGTACGTGACAAGTCTTGACTGTGTCACCAATCATGTCACAAAATACATTGTCTCGTTATAGTCAGGAAGATGGTGATGGAGTGGTGAGAGCACAAGATCAGTAATTCAGAAACTCAGCTAATGGAATCGGAATTAAATTAGTAACTCTGGAAATTAAAGCTCATCTCTGTAACAATGATTATGATAATCAACACTAGCATTAAAACCCAGCTGGCTCATTAACGTCCTTTAGAGACGGAAATCTGCCTCCCTTACCTGGTCTGGCCTGCATGTAAGCCCATACCCACAGCAAAGTAGATGACTTTAACTGACCCCGGAAATAGCCCTATCAAGCCAAGTAATTCCAAGCCAATAAAATGTTGTTAGAAATGTCCACTTCCATTGAAAGAACTTAAAAAAACCAAATAGGAACATACAATTCACCAAGAAATATCAATTTTGCCAGGTTATGATGACATAATTTGCACTGTCAGGCCATCCTTTGAAGGATGACTTACACTTGGAAACATGGGAGATAAAGACAAAAAGTTTTGTGATAGCTAGGTTAAGCTAATTAAATGCTTTGAGGGTCAATAGAATGAGGGACAAGGAAGCAGCTATCTGAATTTCTAGACAAACTCCCTCTGCTAAAAGGTCTGCATATAATTAATAGCAAAAGGTCACACAACTGGAAGCATCTTTGTGATGGGTATTGGTACTTGGTTGAAAGGTGGGGAACAGATTAGGAATAAAGAGAACTGATTGAACGCATCAGATAGCATTTCCAATAATCTCTGGGCATTAGCTTTTTACCATTTATAGTAATGACTTAGATAAAACTTCCGTGTGTAAATTTGCTGGAAAAAAGATGGCGCTGCAGCAAGTAGCATAAGAACACAGCTACAAGGAACATAAAAATGCACTGGTGGGAAAAACTGTGGGAACGAGCTTTAATGTTAACTGATTCTTTCTACAGATGTTGCACACAACTTCATTGTTATTTACTCAGAATAGGCTGGGCACTATGTATCAAATCCCAGTAAATATTCACTCACCCCAACTTCAGAACTCTCAGAGTTTCGATGGTCTTGATGTCGACGATTACGGCGATCGTCACTAGAATTTCTGTAATCATAGTCCCGATCTGCGCCTCTTGAGCTCCTGTCCCTCCGCTCTCTGAATTCCACTCGGTCCTTTATCTGATCAGATCCATACCTGCCATTCCGTTCAGTTCTACTTACTCTGAAAGTATCAATTTTATTTGGCATAAATCCAACAGTTTTAGATGTCAGGGGTCATTTTCTCCAGCAAATAAACACATTTAGAAACTCTGAAATAACCGTGTTTACTATTAAGGGTGCTTCTCATCCATTGAAACCTTACTTATTTCATGATGATCTATTAGGACTCAGATTTCACAACTGACCCTAAGGCTAATGAATAACTAGATGATATATAATGTCTGTCCTCAAGCCCTTGATGCTTCTTATGGTTTATCATCCTGCTCTATCTGTATTTAGAACTTCTTTTCAAATTTTATTGTAGCACCAAGGCATTCACAAAGAAACCTAAAATTTAAGAAGCTGGATTGCTTCAAGTTTAGGTGTTTCTCAATGTAGACGAAGAAACTAAGAAGATATAAAAACCAAAACACCAGGTGTGTTAATATGTTTGCATAGGAAATAGCCAACATAAATGTGGATTTAAAAGTTTATAATTGAGAAAGATAGCAAAAGGTTTTAAATAGTGCAAACGTTTTATTTATAACAAAGCAAGCTACTGGTTACCATCATCATGGCCACACAATATGACTACTAGTTTGTATAAAAGCCCGTTTAAACAATATTCGTAGTTATTTTTTGCTTCACCCTCAAAGGGTGAAAAACAAAGATGACACTTGCTGGGTGTTCAAACGTCAATTTAATACTGTACGGTATCAAGGCCAATGATAGGAATTTCAAAAGCTAAAAGACTAATACAATGAAAACATGAGAATCTTATGATTAATCAAATTCAAATATTTCAAGTTGCAGAATGTGTTGGAAATTGGAATACATCTAAAATGGACACTGATAATTAGGGATTTCCAGGGCTCATTCCACCAAATGTCAAGAGCAACTTCCACTATATAAGTGCAATACTTCATTGCTTGCAAAAACTACATGTAAGTGGATTCAGGGTACTCACCTCTTATTAGAACCCATCCTTCAAACGGAATTAATTGTAAGTACAACTTCTCAGCGATGACCTGTTTATATACCCTGGTAAATAAAACAGCAAATCAACAGAGTTCAACAAGTTCATCATAAAAATCACTTCCACTTTACAACACAGTCACAAGCTCTTATTATTCCAACTGGGAAGCCACTGTGTTTTAATTCACCTTTAATTGTTTCCTACTCAGCTACTACTCAAGGCTGCCTGGTGCTGGAAGACCGCAAAATTCAAATCCAGAGTACAGTATTTCTACAGCATTTAGGATTTAAGTGTTCTTCGTTTATTCAATTATCTGTGTGCAGAGGGCAGGTAAAGATTGCTCCAGAAGTGATGGAATAGGGCTGCCTTAAGTGGACCAAATTTACCAAGAACTCAGTAAACCCTCCATGCTCAAGCAACAGAAGCAAACCATAAGAAATTTATGCACACAGGAATGGAAATAATAAACCATCTGCCTGAAGTTTTATAGTCAGATAATGGCAACTAAAATCATGTTTGCAGTCTACCTTTAGACATTACTTCAACAAAATTCTAACTTTCATACATCAAATCCTTGCATCATTCTAGAGTTCAGGGTTTATTCTCCAAATAAATAAACAGAAATAATTTCAGGTAAGAAGTTTCAATGGAATTTCTTGAGACAGGTGGTCAGAGAAGGACATCAAAGCAACATGGAAAAGACTGATAAAGAAGCTATATACATTTTGTCTGTGCTGAATATCAATTTGTGAGCAAAGAACAGTTAAAGGAATTAGAGAACATCTAATCCAAAATAATGTCCAAGCAATGAGAAAATCTCACCAAACCAGACTGGCCAGATATCAATAGGGAGAGAGTGGGAGGCGGATAGAAGAGGGATAGAGGAGAGGA